TCCAAATCCCACATTTTGACCTCAATCTTCTCCCGAACGTGGCGGATACAGTTTTTCCATTCCTCTGCCGTAACTCTATTGACTGCGATGTGAAAGAGATTTTTAACATCAGAAAATTTATAAGTATTATTATTCGACGCCACGTATTGCTTTATGTTGGCCCAAATCAGCTCAATAGGGTTCAGCTCACAATGGTAGGGTGGCAGTCTCAAGACAGTTTTATTTTGTTTTTTGGCCATTTCGTCGATCATTTTAAAATCGTATTTGTATTTATGTCTATTGACTATACTTATCAATTCACCCTTGACCATTGTTTCATCAAAATCGATCTGTTTTGAGGCCAGCCATTGTTGTATGTTTGCTTTTTTAGTTGCCATTGTGGGAATTTTTTCTATTTTTCTAGAATGGTACGGGGCATTATACAGTACAATAACAGCGTTGTTATCCAGCTTTAGTAACATTTTGGAGAACCAATTTTCAAAGGAATTGCCGTCCATCTCCACATGATAGTCCCCTGTCTTTTTTGATTCAAAGGCCCACAGTGCTTCTGGAACAAAGCCGTCTTCACTACCTACGTGACAAATGATCAGCCGTTTGCCTTTTCCTGGAAATAAATTATTCCTTACACTATGGATTGATTAAATTTGAAGGAATGAGGCAATTGAGTTCATTTAGCTGAATTTAAGAGTCACAGAATGCTGATCAAAAACTGAAAAACGTAGAAAATTGAAGTTTGCAACTTCTCAAAACCCATTCAAAGCAAATTGACTGCACCCAAAAATGATAATAAATTTCAAAATAACGCTTAAAAGAGGGTCGAAGTTTTTTTCCTAATGACTACACTGCGAATGCACCATTTTTGGAGAATATCACACATTATCTGCTATCACAGCATATTATTTGCCCGAATTTATCAAAATTAAATTGCCGGATAGATGAAGGAGCTTACCTGCAGGATTTTTCAATCCAGCCGAAAGACCGTCTAGAAAAGCCTGCCTTGATGATGTTACTGATTTGTTGACCCAAACTTTCGCTTGAGTATGTCCAGCATTCACCCACGTTTCGTCCAAATAGTAAATTTTTCTTTTTTCATCGCGAAACTTCCGAATCTTCCTAAGGTATTCCCTTCTCCACACAACAATTTCTTCTTTCTCTATTAACATACTGTTTCTTCCCCGTTTCAAGAATCGAAAATTAAGTTCCTTCACAAGTTTTCGGAATGCGGTTCTTTTAAATGATGGAAGATCCTCATCAGCATAAACTAATCTTAATATCCTATCTACTGTAGGTATCTCATTTCGGAAGAAAAAATTATGCACTTTCCTCCTGATGGCAGTTCTGTCAAAGTCATCTACTCCGTCCGTTATCCTTTTTCTTGCAGGATACGGTTTTGGCTCAGAAAGTGAGTGAGTGCTCCTATATTCCTTAATGATCCTATAAACACTGGACCGACATACTCCAGAAATATGTGCTACCTTACATATAACTTCGTCCACGACCAAATCGGGTTTTTCGTGAATTTGGTTTTTGTATATATTTAATATTATTTGTTTTTCATTTGCACTTAAATGTAGCTTCTTAGCCCTTTTTTTGGGTGGGGTTGCGCTGATGTCAACCACTTCGTCGGCTGTATCTGTGTCAGACATCGTATCTTAGGCAATATATAAACAAAACGTTCCACTCGCGAAAAACGAGTATACGCTACTGAATGCGTAATGCGTATGCAATGCAATCCTGTGCGTGAATTAACTGTTAGATGCCTGTCGTGTCATCTACAATCACGTTTACAAGTCCAAACCTGTGCAGATTCGTAGAGCGCCGACGACTGCTAGTGACCTTGAATTTGTCTGTAGATCGATGTTACTCCAGTCAATTTAGGTTCAAAGTGGATGTTTTCTAAACCAATTTGTTGTTCCTACATCAAAAATATATCGATGATGTTTTGTACTGGGAGCTCATGAAAGATCAAGGTAACTTATTTTAACAGTCATCCTTTTTCTAGTCTCAAGATAACACGAAAAAGGGTCTGTGGATTCACTAGAAATACACTGCCGAGGATGTTTAGACCTAAAGTGACTGGAGTATATCCGTGGATGCTTTCGAGGGATCTGTTCACGTGCTGGTCACTGTTTACGTTTAATGTCTTTCTTCAGCGCCCAGAGTTTAAATTGGTGATCGACAATTTTTACAAATCACAGTCATGCAACGCTTTCAGAAACTACTCTTTTTACCCGACTGCCTCTGACAGAAGGTTATACTTTTTTGGCGCGTGGGCTTGTACGAGTATGTCCGTAAACCGGGGAACTTCGACATATACTAAGTGACATATAAATACGAACACCCAGTTTAAATGGTTTTATTTTAATAAAAATTGGTGAATGTATTTGTCTTACTGTAAATAACAAGTGAAAAAATTTTCAGCCTTATCAGTTAGACACTCCGGTTTTTATACTGCTTTTTTTTGATTCACTAACGCTCTAAAAATGAATATTTCAGCCGCAGTATAGAATCAACGTTGGCGGATTTTGGTTCTTGACATCCTTTACGATCGGTTACGATTCCTAGAGTACGGAGACCTGTACGATTTCGTCAACTTAGTGAGTTTGATAAGGGCCGTATAGTGGGACTTCGGGAAGCTGGACCTTCTTTTCGGGCAATTGCAGTTAGAGTGCAAAGAAGTGTAGACACTGTGGTTAGGTGTTGTAAGGCATGGCTTCGAGAAGGCCGTACGCAAACAGCAAGGGGCACTGGACGCCGCTGTAGAACAACAGACCGTGAAGATCGCCGCCTAAGATTATTGGCCTTAAGGGACCGTTTCTCCACTACCAGGTCCATTGCAAATGAATGGTTTTGCAGAACACGGAAGACCTATTGGCATGCGAAGTGTTTATCGTTGAGTGAGAAGTTTTGGCTTGTTTTCATACCGGCCACACTGGGTACTCGAGAACACCGACGTAATCGCCTTGAGTGGTGCAGACAACGGTCACTCTGGGATCAGGAATGGAACAGTATTGTCTTTAGTGACGAGTCTCGATTTTGTTTAGGCATGCACGATGGTCGTGCCAGGGTTCGAAGGCGACGTGGTGAAAGGAGGAATCCACAGTTTTTTGTTGAAAGACATATTCATCACACTGTTGGAGTTATGGTTTGGGGTGCTATAGCTTATGGTTCCAGGTCACCTTTAATCTTCATCAGAGGTAACATGAACGCGCAGCGTTATATCCACGAAGTTCTAGAACTACATCTTTTACCCTATCTTGACACCCTGGCAGATCCAACTTTCCAAACAGATAATGCCCGACCACATGTTGCAAGAGTCACAATAGACTTCTTTCAACATAATGATGTCACATTGTTACCATGGCCACCAAGATCTCCCGACTTATCTCCAATTGAGCACGTGTGGGATATGATGGGTAGGAGATTGCTCAATTTGCAACGTTCTCGTCAGACTCTAGAAGCACTTCGAGAGGAGTTGGTGGTTGCCTGGAATGAAATACCACAGGAGGACATTGACCACCTGATCAGAAGCATGCCTAGGCGCGCTAGAGAATGCGTAGCACATCAGGGTGCAGCCACACATTAGTAAAGGTCAAAGGGCTTTGAAGCAGTGCAATCATTTACTTATTATGCTTCATTAAGTACTTATACAGAATTTTATTAAAATAGAACCATTTGAACTGGGTGTTCGGATTTATACTTTTGGCATAAATCATTCTGTACTTTCATGTGTAGGCTGATAGACAATATTATATAAGATGTCAACGTAACATTTGAACCTTTGGCTATCAGCTAGACTCTTTATTAAAATCCTATATTTTCTTCACATACCTTTTTCTTATTTTTAAGTTTGTGTCGATGTTGCCCCTAGGTAGGGGAACTGCGGCATCATATGTATTTTAAATGGTATGTCGATTTTATGGTTCGCGAGGGTTACATCGACAGCTAGAAATTATATTTTTTCACCAAAAATACTATAATATATTAAAAAAACTTTCTCAAAAATTTACAAAGATAAATGAAACAAACGTAATAAACGACAACAGAAAACGTGTAACCCTTAAAATTAAAATAAAACAAATTGCCAGTGCAACAAAAACAAAATAAAAGTATACAAAATAATACTAACACAAAAATAATTCAAATATCTAATTATCATCTTCACATATAAGACACATATATTGATTTTCTTTTGACGCTTTGTTGCAAATGCCGCAAATCCATCTGAAGCAAATTAACATAAACCTGAACGGTCTTTTTAACAACGGATAATGGGAGGTTGTCCTCGTCTGAAGAAATTGACTCTGCAGGAAGATTCTCAACAGGTGGCAAGCACATTCGCTCTCCGGGTGCTTGTCTTTAGCTTTTTTCCTCTTTTCCGCGAAGCGGATTCATCTGTTTGAGAAAATCTAGTAGACTCTCATCGAGCATCCTTGATGTGGAAGATGAATCGTGAAAATCAGGAAGTTTGGATAAAATGGTGACAGGGCTAAATGGACAAATTCCGGTTGTTCGAAAACCTGATATGATATTTGCCTTAGCTGTCGTAGACACAGAACCCCACAGTTTATTTAGAAGAGCTGGAACTGCTCTTTCGGAATTGTTCCCTTTCGTCTGGATTCCTTTCTCCAATTGTCCAGGACTGCCCTCCATTTTCGTTTCATTGAGGCAAGGAAACTGACATCCAGCGGTTGTAAGAGATGGGTTGAATTTGGTGGGAGCAGAGTCATGTAGATATTATTTTCCTTGGCAGTCTGTATAACAAGTGGGGAGAAATGCGAAGCAAGATTATCACCAATTACAATTGTTTGTTCATCCTTTTGACTATGTTCCTTGATATGTGGAAGCAAAATATAAAAAAACCACTGTTCAGATTCTGGGATTTCAAATTCAAATTCAAATTCAAAATACATTTATTTGCCAAAAAACAACAACAAAAAAAAACATTATATTTACTGTATTATAGAAAATACACACATTATTTTTGGAAAAAAGAACAAATCCTCGATCAAATAACCGTCAACACCAGCCTTACATAAGTAGGGTGGGTGTGAAAATGCCCTGTGTTACACTAATTTTACACTTATAATATACAAACAATAAACTGGAATTTAATGATTTTATTCATTACGAGCATGAACGATTGATATTGCAGAAGAAAAAAAATGTATTTACTCACTTAAAAAGTCAACGTTCCGACGGGTGGGGAGCACCGGAGAGGGGGCGAAGAGCGGCAGAAAGCAACGGACGCGAAGGCACACCGACGAACCCCCCATACAGTTAACCATACCGAAATACATCCACACACACATACAACATCTATCATCACATGCTCGCTTCTCCATCTTAATAAAAAGATAAATTTGAAAAAATAAACTTGACAACAAGTATCCGTGCACAATCACACTCATTATTGTATTATTGATCCTGAAGAAGCATGGCCATTATATACTTTGAGAACACTCTTTGTGACATTACCTTTACATCATTATTTAGACTGTTCCACATTTTAACTGCAAGAAATGAAAAAGAACGTTGAAATGCTGCAGACCTATGTCGAGGAGTAATAAAAATATTCTGATTATGTCTTGTCCCGTAATAATGATTAAAAGTTGAAAGCTCATTTTTCAAATAAGAAGGTTTTCATGATTTTATTATTATATAGATGAAATTAAATATCAATCAATCAATTCTTTATTCATGTCACAATACATAAAATATGTTTACATACGTCAGTAGATCAAATGAGAATTGCATTAGAATTAAAATAAAGGGAGTGCTAATGATCATAAAAAATTACAGACAAGTACACCAGCACTCATAAAGATATAACGCTAACATATTAAGATTTATAGTTAAAATTTATGTCTTAAAAACTCTTCAAACGTGTAAAATGAGTTATTAATAAGACTTTTCTTGATTTGAACTTTAAAATCTTTAAACGGAAGCGATTTTAAGCCGCCTGGAAGTACATTAAAAAATTTGACCGCCCAATAACCAGGTCCATCTTGACACCTTCTCAGTCGCCAATAAGGAGGTACTAGATTGTTCTTATGCCTAGTATTATGCTCATGGACGTCCCCATGAGTTACATAGTTAGAGTTTCTTTTAACGAATAGTAGATTTTCAAAAATATATAAACAAGGCACAGTAAGGATTCCCAACTTGACAAAGGTATCTCTGCAATCGTCTCTGTAGCCCAGATGGCTCACAACCCTAACTGCTCTTCTTTGCAAGGCGAACAGTCTATGGACCACTGAAGAATGCCCCCAAGCCAGAATGGCGTAGGATATATGTGAATGGCAAATGTCAAAGTAAACCATTCTTAATATTTCTACAGAAACACAAGAAGACAAACTCCGTAGCACATATACACCTTTGGTGGCCTTTCCAGCATCACTATCAATGTGAAGGCCCCATTGCAATCTTGGATCCAAAGTAACCCCCAGAAACTTGGCTTCACCAACCAAATCACTGTCTCCAGCCAGGCTTCGCATGGAGAATACCATTCTCTTTGTCTTATCTTTATTTAGCAACAGCTTATTGGAGCAAAACCACAGCTCAGCCTCATCCTGCGCAGCCAGAGACTGTGCCATTGAGCGCTCAAAACTGTTAGCGGTGTGAGAGACGGTCGTATCATCCGCAAAGAGAGTAAAGTTTGCCATATTGTTATTGAGAGGTAAATCATTTATGTAAATTAAAAAAAGAATTGGGCCCAAGATGGAGCCCTGTGGGACGCCAATATTAACACTTCGCTCCGCTGATGTCACTCCATCACATCTCACCACCTGAGTTCTATTACTAAGGTAAAACTCAATTAGTTTAACGGAATCATAACTAAAGTTGTAAGCAAGGAGCTTTTTTAAAAGGATGTCATGGCTCACACAATCAAATGCCTTACTAAGATCGCAGAAAAGAGCCATGTTATACCCTCCTCCATGGAAAGCATCAATTATAGAAGAAATCAGGTTAAGTACGCCCATGACAGTGCTCTTACCCTGGCGAAAACCAAACTGATATTGTGAAAACAATTCATTTGCCTCAAAAAAAGTTACCAGTCTCAAAGCCATACATTTTCAAAGATCTTAGAGATAACTGGAAGAAGGGATATAGGTCTGTAGTTCTCTGGTGAATCAACATTGCCGTTCTTAAAAATAGGTGTGACACTAGCTCTCTTTAGAACAGTTGGAAAAATATTTTCTCTAAGACAAATATTAATCAGTCGTGTTAGAGGGATCAAAATTATGTTCTTTATACATTTTACAATTTTTAAATTGAAACCAAAAATATCTTTACTGTTTTTATTTTTGAGATTATCTATTACATCGCGAACCTCGTTAAATGTGACTTCAGAAAAAGAAAACAGAGGTGGCGGTACCAGGAAATCAATATTATTAACAGGATCTAAATGTACATCAGGGATGTGATTTACTATATTACCTGCTATGTTACAAAAAAAATTATTAAAGTCATCAGGTGACAGGTCACTGCTCCCAGGGCACTTATTACTATTACCTCTTTTCTTGTTAATGATATCCCACACGGTTTTAGCAGGATTACTTGAGCTCTTTACAAGGTTGTCATTAGCATTTATCTTAGCTTTTCTTATTTTATTTCTATATAGATTTTTGTAGTTTTTATAATACTGGACACTCACAAAACCATACTGCCCTTTCAGCTCTCTCAAAAACCTCAAATGTTCCCTCATTGCCCTTAGTTCGGTATTAAACCAGGAAATATTATTGCCCTGGTCGGATCTTACCACATAAGTTTTCTTTGGAAAAGAGTATGTATAGGCTTCTTGAAGAATAAGTGGCTAAACTTTTGTTCACCGCTGGTACTATCAACAGTAATAAAATCCCAAGGTATCTCCGACAACCTACTGTGTAACATAAACAAACCTCTTTGTGTTACTGGTCTATACATTTTTTTATTTTGAGTAAAACCTGTGGTTTCACAACCAAGAAATTTAACCAGCTGACCTTTATGATCTGATATTCCAATATCACATACCTGAGAGCCACACAGCTCCATCGCACTACTAAGGAAAACATTGTCAAGACAGGAGTCCCCACGAGTTGGTTCAAAGATTGTTCTTTCTAAGCCAATAAATGATGTTTCAGGTGATTTAGCATATTTAGTATAGACAAATTGTTTAGGTAAGGTGTTATGTGGTTACGATAAGGTATGTTGAATGAAAATCGCATGCAGGCGTTCTGCAATTTTTGTATCGCATTTTTAGTAGTATACGCCAACGAGCTCCCATAAACTATATCTCCATAGTCAAAAAGCGACAGTATAAGATTCTTACAAAGGAAATACTTTTGCTTAGGCAGTAAACATTTTTTTAGTTTGGAGATATTTCTTAATCGTATGTATGCTGCCGTCAATTTTTTCTTTATGTGTGGTTCAAATGATAATGCATTATCGAAGATTACGCCTAGATTATTTGCTTTGTGAATAATGGGGACTATCTCATTGTTTATACGGATATTCAAACTACGCTCTATATTTCTCCTAAGTTTGAAATTAGATCCCAAAATTAAAGCTTTTGATTTAGAAGCATTGAGTTTTAAATTGTGGCGTATGGCAAAACTGTTGACCTCTAGCAGGTCTGAATTAATGTGATTTTCGGTTGTGTTTAAATTGTCGTTATTAATAGCAATACAAAGTTGTGAGTCATCGGCGTACTGATGAAGCCTTGCATAAGCAACAGCTTGAGACATATCTGCCACATAAATACTAAACAGCAAGGGCGAAAGGATTGACCCTTGAGGGACACCTTGCTTTACAGGTTTAAATTCAGATTTGAGGCAAACGGATCCTTGAGAAATCATAACGCAGCTTGATCGAGTACTTAGGTAACTTTTTAAAAAACTTATTGCATTAGGTGAGAATCCAAAATAGCTTAGCTTTGCCAGCATCATTCTGTGATTTAGAGTATCAAAAGCTTTGCTAAAATCTAACAAAATCATGCAAGTAGCGTTTTTCTGGTCCTCGTGCATTCGGACATCGTTTAAAATATTTACCAAGCTTGTAGTTGTACTAAAATTCTTCCTGAATCCCGATTGATATTGAGAAATGATATTTTGTGATTCAGAAAATTCCGACATCTGAACAAAAATGTGCTTTTCTATAAGTTTTGACACAGAGGACAAAATACTTATTGGTCTAAGGTCTTTAAGTTCTTTAGGCTCGCCAACCTTTGATATGGGTTTCACAATAGCCTTTTTCCAAACAGAAGGGTAAGTATTTTCCAAAAGGCATGTGTTAATAATATTAATCAATGCATTTGCGCAGAAAGGAAGACACAATTTTATGTCTTTGATGGATATGCCATCCTCTCCAATCGCACCTGATGAAATGGAATTAACAATTTTTATTAGTCTGCTCTATCAAATGAAATTCCAAATTATTATTTACAGCTTGATTATTTTCATAAGAACTGATCAAGTTTAATGATGCAGTGTCTCGCATGTTATCAGTCATCTGAAAAAAATCATGTATCTCATACGGATTTAAGAGATTATCAGGAAGTTCAGTAAGAGTCCTCTGGTTGGTCAGATTAAGCCTTCGCGCGGCTTTCCAAAAATCGTCTTGTTTTTTTCTTGCTAGTTGATTAAAATATGTAACTTTTTCGCGGATAATAGCATGCTTAGTGAAATTTCTTAGCTATCTATAATATCTAAGGTGCTGATCTCTTTTGGATCTTAAGTATTTTTTATGTGCTTTATCTCTAATTTTTATCAAAAGTTTTATGTTTTCGGTTATCCAGGGAAGAAACGGCATTTCTATCTTAATTTTTCTTGTTTTTAGAGGAGCATGTTTATCAATGATTGTTAAAATATATTTATTAAATAATTTCACCTTTTCATCTACATTGGTACAATTGTAAATAATATTCCACGGAAGCTGCATACCATCATAGAGAAATGACTGTTCACGAATATTATTATAACCGCGATTATTAACGTATTTTGGAGAACTGTTTATTTTTGGAATGTTAAAGACCGAATAAACTAAATTATGGTCTGTTATATTCTCGTCTATTGGTATGGTTCCTGATTTAACTGTTAGCAAATTTTCACTTACAATAATCATATCAATCAAAGTAGAGTGTGATGTCAACATATCATATCTAGTTGGCTCAGATATTTTTTGAGAGAGATTGAATGACTGCAATATATTTTTAAAACGCCTGATGTGATTAGATTCACTCAGATAATCAATGTTAAAATCTCCTGTGACGACCAGACAGTCATAACCAACAGCAACTACACCGAGCATGTCCTCAAATGTATCAAAAAAAGCAGCAATGTTACCGGAACCAAGTTTTATTATTAATTCGAAAATGAATACCAACGAATTCAAAATTTTCATCTAGGAGAGAGATATCCAAATTTAATTTTGTTGGTTTAATATTTTTTTTAAAGTGTGTAGCTACCCCAACCCCCTGACCAGCTCTATCCCGCCTTATTAGTCTATACCCTGGCAGGGTATAATTATAACTCTGATCTTCAGTATTTAACCATGTTTCGGTAAGACATTGTAGGTCGAAAGAAAATTCGGAAGCATAAGAAGAAAACTCATCAAACCCTGTATTCAATGATCGGATATTTAAGTGACCTACAGAAAAGTTGCTGTCGTCAGCGAAATCAGAACTGCTTCGGGCTCGCCGATGCAAAACCACATCATCCATCGCCCCGCAGCCGCCAGACACCAACCCTCGCCGGACTCGCCCCACCCCTTCAAAAGTTAAACATACCCTCTCTGCAACAACAAAAGCAATGCTCATACAAGAACGCGTAGTAATAAATATATTCAAACTATCCTAAGTATATTATAAATTTATTATAAATGACCTATGAGAGAAATACTTAGCGACGACAACAATAATGCCCGGGGCTACTCACTTTTCATTATTACATATATATACGTATATATAGAAAAGTAACCGCTACACATAATGAATATCATGAAAATAGGCCTCTATTTACCTTTATTTAACTGCTCTAGAGAATAAAAGAACCCATTATGAAAAGGAAATACGCATCAATATTATTAATACAAATTAGGAATAGAATGGAACGATAACCAGAAGAGTAAAAAAAATATAAATCTATAGTATGCACTCATACAATTTCCGCATATTCAAAATTTTGTTTTGTATACATTATTCTGTGTATTCGCATACAGCAAAAACAGTAGGATGAAGTAAAAAAAACTGCATACAACTGAATACAATAACAATTATTCTATAACAAGAAAAGTAAATAATTAGATTCATCACATAATGAATACATTTTCCCTTTTTCAACATATCCACAGTATATGGCATGAAAACAAGAAAAAAAAAACAAAAAACCAAATTTTTCTAACCATAGGCGCCAGATCGAAAGAAAAAACTGCGTTAGCCATTCAAAAAAAGCATCTTAGGTCAGTACTTACATTTTTAGGTAATGCACCTTGGAAATATTGGTGCCCCTGATGTGGATTAATAGCTGTACTTACTTTACTTTTTCAAAGTCATTTTCACTGCGTATCGTATGCACAATATTATTGACTTTGACAAAAATAATACCGTTATTCACCCAAGTGTTTTTAAACGAAAACCTGCTTATAGCTTCTCTAAATAGGTTTAGTCGACTCTTTGTTAGGTCTCTTGATTTTAATTTCCATGTTACGGAGTTTGTTACGATTTTTAAGCACCTGGCGCCTGACGGAATCACAATTGAACTGTACCAAAACAGCCGGAGGGCTATCGTTGGCGATACGACGGCACTTTTTTATGGCATCGTTAGGTATATTTACCTTCAAATTATTCACAAACAAATCAATAATTTTTTTGTCCAAAACCTCACCGTTCGTGAATTCTATCCCAAAGATGCGAACGTTATGATTTCGCTCCAACAACTGTTCCCTGTGGTCAACGAACTTCCTGAGTCGCCTGTTTTCTGCTTCCAGGATGTTTGTTTGTTTCCTTAGGGTGTCGATGGCTTGCCTATGAGATTTCAGTTGTTCCTCGAACTGTTTTTTTACCAGAACAGCAACCCTCACCGCAATTTCGTTGACGAATTTCTCGTTGAATGTGGAGGTTATAGCGGATTTAATTTCACGCAGGTCGGTAGACGAAAAAACCATAATCGCGGAACCAAAACAAAACAGTTAGTCTAACAAAAAATGTATTATTTAATTTCTTCAGAGACGGACTTTTCTGGTAAAAATATTAGAGAGCACCACAGACTAGGATCACTACCACTCGCGCGCCATCTCCAATATCCAGGACTACCCTCCATTTTCTTTTAATTGAGGCAAGGAAACTGACATCCAGCGGTTGTAAGAGATGGGTTGAATTTGGTGGGAGCGGAGTCATGTAGATATTATTTTCCTTGGCAGTCTGTATAACAAGTGGGGAGAAATGCGAAGCAAGATTATCACCAATTACAATTGTTTGTTCATCTTTTTGACTATGTTCCTTGATATGTGGAAGCAAAATATAAAAAACCACTGTTCAGATTCTGGGATTTGTACACTACCATTGCTGGTAGAAGTTCGCCATCTGCCATTCCGCATATCATAATACTTACAGAAGTCCTCGAATGTTCCTTGGTTCCCTCCACTCTTTTCATGCCTCTTGGAATGAGAACCCTTTTAGAGCCCGGGTCAAGGGTGATATTTGTTTCGTCATAATTGTAGATATTTCGATGAGGAGCATTCACTAAATGAGGTTCGATATTTGTAAAAAACTCACGAATTGCACTTTGGCCCACAGATGCCCGATTTAGTTTTATATTTGTGGCTAGCCTTACGCGTAAATTGTTTCTAATTGCGAAGCTTCTCACAAAATCATATCCTGGTCTGTTATCTTTCCATATTTGTACGTTACGCCCCTGTTTGTTGACAGAACCAGCAATAACGGATGCAATATCACATCTGGTCATATTATATCCCCACTCACTAACAGTTCCGGGTGTTTCACTAATTAAACTTTCCTCTTCTTTTGTCAATACCGTCGGATGGCCAACTTTGCTTGTATGTTTTCCGCTAATTCTCTCCAAAAGTGTTGTCCTTGGAACCTTGTATTTTATACTAGCTGCTTTCCTACTCATACCACTCCGTGCTGCTGCAATTGCATCCTGCATATTTGTTTCATTGAATTGACGACATCGCCTACCACCCACCTTTTTAACGTAATTTCTGACCATCTTTAGCCTAAGTATTATCAACCTCTCGACACTCTAATCCGTTAAATTCCTCAGCGAGTACGACGCGCATACACATTCCGAGAAAACGAACACCTGGACGTGGCATGTCAAAGATATCCGATTGGTGTCGAAGTTACCCTGACAGTTGAAGAAGCTCCGGTTTACGGTACGTGGACACAAGGAAACGGCCTGATGAGTTTTGGAGATGTTGCTGGATTCGTCAAAAAAATTACTAAAACAAAATGATGGATTTTATAAGAAAAAACATCCTTGACATCCATATTTCAAGGGTTATTGCTTAAACAACTCTATGGATTTTGACATAACATTGACTATACTAAAATTTTAAGGATCAAATCAACAAAGTTTTCTTAAGCTCCTCCAGCAACGTTTTTTTAAGCACAGCCTCTGTTCCCAGGCTTTTTGGCCCGGTATACAATAATTGGTTGTATTTTGAGCAAGTTATTCAAATACCCCAGCGTTCATAAGAACAATCATGCTTGCAAAGTCAATTTACTTGACGTCATTTTTCATTACCTTTCATTGAACAGTAGAATTGATCACACCACCGCTATGTCGAGAGAGGAAAACTCTCAAGGCCGCCGTAACTTGTTGACACGACACGGAGTGCCCCCGCAAAGGCCCGAAAAAGCATCTCTGGTGCTCCAGAGAGCCTGTGGCACATGCGTGTTCCGGGAGGTCCTGAGATGCTCCAGCGACGAGGACCGGAGCCAGCCTCCGGAGTCAGTAGCCGCGCGGTGATCCGGTAATGGAGACTCTATCTCGATGCTCCGGGAAATTTTGCGTGCGTGGAGCGTATTCGTAACGTGCGAGATCGCGATCTGGTGTCACGGCGCGTCACGCGACTCCGGTTTTGTTTCCGGGTGACTGATTTCGAACTGTGTAGGTGTCTGTGCCTATTAGTGTTTGATACTTATGTGGTTGTAGGTGGTTTGGTTGGTGGACTATAACATAGAGGTAAGGAAGCTTTGATTGATTGAGGTTCATTATCAGATCAAGGTCATATGGAACATCATCTGGAACACTGATGGGTGTGAAGTTTGATACTTGCATGGTTGTCTGTGGTTCAACTGTAGATGAAGATCAGTAAATTATTCTTGGTTGATGTTTTTCGTTATCAAACCATAATCCTTACTTGTTGCACAGTATTTAACAGCAGAAAAAGACATTAAGTGTATTTTGTATCACCCTTTTTCCAATTTCCAGAAACAAGGTCAACGCAATCATGCTTCACCTTCATCGCTTGGCAATATGATCGGTTCACTAGCTACAGATCTTACAAAAATGTATGAGTTTGAATTTGCTTCGTACTAAATTTAATTGAAAAATCGTTTTTTCGCATCAAGCCCTCTGCCCTGATGTGCCGTAATTCATTTATACCCCAAAAACTAAATTATTATTAAATTATAATACAAAGAGGCGACTGAAATATTCTTACGTATAAGACTGGTGGAGGTAGATGAAGGTATCAATGAGAAGACTCAGAAAACGCTAGTTAAACGAAAGGAATCATCTTTTTTTTAATATACGTTCATCAATTCATCAATAGATTAATCAAGCATGGTATACCAAACACAAAAAATAGTATCTTGTTACTATGTACTTGATATTATTGATCCCGAGCTTTCCAATTTCCGGCGATCTCTCGATTTTAGTACACGTAAATTCTCATTTACTTCTCCCAAGGTTAAAATTGGTAGCTATCTAGCAGAAGTCTCCAAGAGTAATACACAATAGCCTTTGGGACTTGTACGTCACAAAAAAGTAAATAACTTTGATCGGTTCTATCAAAATCAAAAGATTTCAGACTAGTCAGAAGGAGCCTCTCAAGGATTTGTTTGCGTTCTAATTCCCATAGTCTGTAGTGTAGATCAAGTGCACCTGACATAAGTCAATTTTTTTATAATTCTGTCATTAATTTCGTATATTTAGTGTTACTTTTCAAAAGTGCAAACGTTTGCAGACAATTAAGGTGCTAGACGATTTCAAGACATGAGGTACTTGTTGCATAATTTGCAAAGAACGGCAGAAGCATAACGTAGGTAGATGTTTCCATCGATAAGATTTATGATTATGTTGATACAACGCTGTCACTTTGGTAGACGTTGGTAGACAATTGAGTATAAAGTATGCACTAAAACTAGTCAATTTTGCTGACAAACAATGCAATCTATTCGTTGGTATTGTCCATGGTCTATCAATAAATCAGTTAGTTGACCCATTGGCCTGATCATTCAGCCATTCTCAATCAGTTAAAGAGCTTACATATTCATCTTTTAATACATTTTTCTTCATGAACAATGCTTTCCGGATAGCAGTAGATGTGTCTTCTTAGGCCCGTATCGTCAGTCCTCCCTACAAATGTAGGGCGCCTTTATGGCCTCCTTGATTGTCACAGTTTTCTACTTCTGAACTCTATTTTGAGGTTATGTCACAAACATTCATTTGCATCAAATTGTGCTTGCTTTTGAGTTATATCATGTATTATCAGCCTAAAATTTCCTACAATTTAAAAAGAAAACATATCTTCACAATAGGAGAGCGCTGACGCTGACACGGGACAAGTGTAATCTAGATATTTTTGAAGGAGAGAAAGGAGTATGATAATCAAGGAGGCCATAAACGTGCCCTACAATTGTAGAGACGACTGACGATACGGGCCTTAGATTTACCTGTTGATGCTTTTCGATCAATGTAGATGTCGCTTTGAGTGACATTCAGACATAAAACATTCTAATTTTATGTAGCTTGCTACATTTTCAATATTTGAGAGAATAAAGTATCAATACAGGGTCAAACGGTTTGACAAAGGAACCTAATTTTTGAACGTGCATATTCATAACAGAAACAGAGAAATACGATCCTCATGAAGGAAATTTATGTATATTACATTCTAAAATTTGAAGTTATTGGGCATGAACAATGAAAAAGCCAGGTTTCAGCCAGCTACTCCACGTACATACATATTAGTTGAAGATCCAAATTAAAAATGACCTTCAGCCATCTGTTTACTGGATCAGAATGATTTTATATCAAATTTAGTATGTTGAAAAGTCTATCGCTAGTGGCTTGTATCAAAAATTCCTGACGAGACCATTATGAATTAAATAAAATTCAAATGAAACTGTCCAAGTTCCATTTTCTTAGTCACCTAAATGTTCAGCTTTGTTTTCATTTTACTAACTTCGTATCTCTTGTCGTTTCCGAGATACCAAAAGTTAACTTCAATGAACAATTTTTCAAAGTTTTAGCATAAAAATCAATTAAACACTCATCCGAATCAGAACAAAACAGTTATTGACCATTTTTGATAAGAGCTGAAATTACACACATTAAAGTTTGTATTTTCTTTTTACCCAACACATAACAGAACTGTGGTCTACCGCACTATTCAGGGTGTAAAAGTTTTATTATTATTTTGTTAATTTTCAAATAATCATTGGAATTTCTTACCTGACCCATGCGCGATATATTTTTGAACATATATGATATAAAATACTTTTCATCCATTAAACAGACGTTTGATGAAAGTCGTTCCTAACTTGGGCCTTAGACTATATAATTATACAGTCTTCTTGATTAATCCACTTGTTACTTATTAACTTGGCTTCAATGTCATAACCGTCCATTTGTATAGTTGTGGTAGTATTTGTGGAATAGTCATCGCGGCGAACACTTGTGAAAAAACTATGACAAACATATTTAACGCATCAGCCTGCGTGACGCACATTGGGAAATTCTGTGCGGACTTAATAAATGGTACTTTTAGTTCTGTTGATTTGATATTTTTTGGTTAACTGAAATGTTGATGAATGATATTTGAGTGGAATAAAATAAATAATTGCAAAAAATGAACGCAATCCAATTTAATTTATAATTATCAAATACTTATTTCGATAACTATTTTTTGATTGA